GCCTGACCCTTCCGCCGCCGCGCAGCCTGGGAGGGCCGAGACCGGCCCCCCTGTTTTTGACGCCGGCGTCTGGAATGTGTATTGTCCACGCCGGCGTCCCCGTCCCAGGTGGGCGCGCGGACCGGCCAGGTGCGGCTATTTTTGGGACCACCGCGGTCATGTTTTTCTTCTCCCTTCGTTTCCGGATCTATTCAGCCTCCCCATCTGCGCTATTCGTCGTGACCCCATTTTCGTCATATTTAAGCTGATGTAAACATGTTTCTCGCGCTGTTCTGTTCTGGCCTCCGCAGCGTGCGGACGTGCCTCTGTCCTGTCGTAGCCGTCGCACCGTTCGTTGGACACCGCAATATAGAAATACCTCTTCAGTGCTGTGTCGGGAAGTGCAGAAGCAACGAGACACAGCTTGAGCAGCAGTGAGCGGGCGGAGTTAGAATCGGGCGTGTGCGGCGCGTGCGCAACTCTTCATTCTACACAAGTTACCTTACCTTCACTCCTCTACCCTTCCTGGTCTGCTGAATTGTGGGCCTCCTTGTCGCTTGAATTGTGACTTCTATCTCTACTCACTTAACCTTCCCATTTTACCCTTCCTGGTCTGCTGAATTGTGGGCCTCCTTGTCGCTTGAATTGTGACTTCTATCTCTCACCTGTGTCACGCTGAATTGCCGTGGCTCCTGGCTGCTGAATTGTGGCCATCCTTCATATCCGATCGATCTGCCTAAAGCCCTTCACCTACTTGTGTTGAATAGGGTGTGCACGAGTTTCATTTCACCCAAATGCCGTGGACCCGCCGGTCTGATTAGCCCCAGAAAGGAGTGTTTACAGTCCGCTCCGCCAGAGGAGAGTCGGGCGCCGCGCGGCGCGGCGTCCCGTCGAGCACAGGCCGGCGCGTGGCCGCGACATTTACTGGTCCTCCGGGCCGGATCCATCCGGCAACATGTCAGCAACAGGAGAAACAGAACAGCCTCCCTCAGCAGACCTGGAAGAGAGCGTCCCAAGAGAGAAGCGTCGTGAAGCGGTGAGCGAGGAGTTGAAGGTGCTGCGCCGGAAAAGGGGACAGAAGTTGGCAGCCTTTTCCCGCGCGTGCCACAGAGCAGAATTACTCATCGCCGTTCGTGGGAGTCGCTCAACCTTAGAAGGATTGTTCGAGACAGCCGATGTGGCATTGGAAGGCGTCATCACAGCGAATGATGCACTGGAAGCCTGCCTGTCGTCTGAAGCAGATAAGGCTGATGCAGAGGAGTACTGTGCCAAGGCAGAACGTGATAGAGAAGATATCGTCGAAAGAATCACCCAGCATCTAGCAGAGCGCAGAGATGAGCCGCCATCAGACGCCGGCTCTGTCGTTTCTGTCGCTCAGAAGAGCCAGACGAGTGCCGTCTCAAGAGCATCTCAAGTCGAAGCAGAGGTTGCGTCTAAGATTAAAGCACTACGCCTACAGCAGCTTAAGCGTAGGCAAGAAGAACAGCGACTGCAAGAAAGTCAAGAAGAGGAGAAACAGCGCCGCAGGGAAGAAGAACAGCGCCGTAGGCAACAAGAGGAAGAGCGCCGCAGGCAAGAAGAGCAGCACCAAGAGAGGGAAGCCGAGAGACGAAGACAGCTTCAAGATGCTGAAGATGAAGCTGAAGCAGCCCAGCTCGAAGCTAATCTACGTAAGGAGCTCAACGGTGACCTTCAAGACGAAAGGAGGAACGATTTCGAAGATGAGCTGTTTGCAACAGAAGAAGCCGGAGACAGAAGTCATCAGCGAGAAGTACAGCCATCGTTTGAAAGGACAACCACCGCACCAAGCAATGAAATGGAGGCATGTCGTGAAAAGCTGGTCAAAGGTCCAGGATCTCACCAGAAGAGGCACAACATGTCATGGATAGGAGAGCTGCGCAGTTCGCGTCAGACCCAGCGCACAGAGAGCGCAGCTCCGTTTTCAGCCTTCGCGAAGAGTATCCCAAAACTGACCCTTCCGACCTTCAGTGGTAAGGCTTCAGAATGGCCGAGATGGAGCGGATTGTTCAAAGCGCTGGTGCACGATCAGCCGTCCCTCTCGGACACAGAAAAGATCGCCCACCTTCAGTCATCGGTGAGTGGACTGGCACAGCAGACTATTTCTGGCATGTTATACGATGGAAGTCTGTACCACCAAGCGTTGAAAGCCCTCGAGGAGCGGTTTGGTCAAGATGACGATATCATCAAACACAACCTCAACAGCATCTTCAACGCCCCAGACCCGATGGAAGATGATGCAGAAGCGCTGGAAAGATTCCAAGCGACGGTACACTGCGCCGTGACTATCCTCCAGAGCATGGGGGCAGATGCTGACCTTCACAGCAGTGACAGCTTGCATCGGACGGTGGAAAAACTCCCTCGGGAGCTGAGACGAGAGTGGGGAAAGTTCTCACTGGAACTGAAGCCGACCAGACCATCACTTCTAGACGTGGACTCGTGGCTGAAGACCCAAGTGAAGATCAGCAGAAGCTGTCCAAAGGGAAAAGGGGACGGCGAAGAAGTCGGCGCCAGGCAAAGAAAGGAACACGCCCATGAGACCTTCCAAAGACAAACCTTCTTCACAGCCGCGAATCCAAAGCAGAAGTGCTCGGCATGTGAAGGCCAGCACGATCTGCAGCAGTGTCGGATTTTCATCGGGAAGTCTCCTGATGACAGGCTTGAGCACGCATTCAGCCAGCGGTTGTGCCTCTACTGCCTCAGGAAGGGCCATCGCGTGGCAGACTGCGGAAAGGCAAGGCGCTGTGAAAGGGATGGCTGCAAGTACCGACATCACGCCCTTCTCCACGGCAGTCGGCCAGTCAGGTCGCGACAACCTGATGACCCAGTGACAAAGCCTGATGCAGGCAACGAGGGAGCAGACGCAGCAACACCGGGGGCGGCGCATGTCCTCGACCCAGATCCGGCGCTACAGGTGATGTTTGTCCAGAGCAGAGTCAGTGCTGGAGAGCTCCTGTCCGAACAGAAAGGGGAATCGCGATCTACAGGAGCTTCCAAGACCAAACACAACCAGCCAGTGCCAAAGTCTCAAGAAGAAACACGCTCTCTGGCAGCCCTGGAACGCAAGACGAAGAAGCTGCCAGACAGGTGTGAGACGGGCACAGTGTGGAAAGAAGAGCAAGTGAAGGATCCTGACAAAAGAGGGATCGCTCTGGATATACATCAGGCATCAGAAAAGCATCCGGAGTGTGTTCGCGGGAGATCTGGAGCTCCTCGCCGCCTCCAACACGCCGCGGGCCATACAGTCGCTCGCCCGCGTGACCCAGGTGTTCCCGGGACCAGATGGAAGGGTCCGTTCTGTCCAGCTCAAGACGGCAGGAGGATGCGTGGATAGCTGGCCCGTCGTCAAGATCGCCGTGCTCGAAAAGAAGTGAGCAAAATGCTATGATCGGTCTTGTAAATTTGTGTATCATGTTCCGTTTGCGCCAGCCGGTTAGTGCGAGCCGACGATTGTTTCCTGTCCGGACCCCGCCAAGTCGAGACCTACCAGCCGATACTTCAGCGGCGGTACTGTGTGTAGTGTTCTCGTAGAGTCGAACACGGGGGGGCGGGATGTGACCGCCGCATGTATGAATGCTTATGCATGTGCACCGGCTGTGGCTCGTCGCCGGCTAGGTAGACCGCCGGGACCGGCCGGCCGTGAGGGCGCCGGCCGCCCGGGCCCGGCCTGACCGGGCCAGGCCGCCTGACCCTTCCGCCGCCGCGCAGCCTGGGAGGGCCGAGACCGGCCCCCCTGTTTTTGACGCCGGCGTCTGGAATGTGTATTGTCCACGCCGGCGTCCCCGTCCCAGGTGGGCGCGCGGACCGGCCAGGTGCGGCTATTTTTGGGACCACCGCGGTCATGTTTTTCTTCTCCCTTCGTTTCCGGATCTATTCAGCCTCCCCATCTGCGCTATTCGTCGTGACCCCATTTTCGTCATATTTAAGCTGATGTAAACATGTTTCTCGCGCTGTTCTGTTCTGGCCTCCGCAGCGTGCGGACGTGCCTCTGTCCTGTCGTAGCCGTCGCACCGTTCGTTGGACACCGCAATATAGAAATACCTCTTCAGTGCTGTGTCGGGAAGTGCAGAAGCAACGAGACACAGCTTGAGCAGCAGTGAGCGGGCGGAGTTAGAATCGGGCGTGTGCGGCGCGTGCGCAACTCTTCATTCTACACAAGTTACCTTACCTTCACTCCTCTACCCTTCCTGGTCTGCTGAATTGTGGGCCTCCTTGTCGCTTGAATTGTGACTTCTATCTCTACTCACTTAACCTTCCCATTTTACCCTTCCTGGTCTGCTGAATTGTGGGCCTCCTTGTCGCTTGAATTGTGACTTCTATCTCTACTCACTTGACTCTTAACCTTCCCATTTTACCCTTCCTGGTCTGCTGAATTGTGGGCCTCCTTGTCGCTTGAATTGTGACTTCTATCTCTCACCTGTGTCACGCTGAATTGCCGTGGCTCCTGGCTGCTGAATTGTGGCCATCCTTCATATCCGATCGATCTGCCTAAAGCCCTTCACCTACTTGTGTTGAATAGGGTGTGCACGAGTTTCATTTCACCCAAATGCCGTGGACCCGCCGGTCTGATTAGCCCCAGAAAGGAGTGTTTACAGTCCGCTCCGCCAGAGGAGAGTCGGGCGCCGCGCGGCGCGGCGTCCCGTCGAGCACAGGCCGGCGCGTGGCCGCGACAGTCTGATTTTATGGCGGCTGGACAGTCCCGCGAGGGTTGACTCCGCACTGACCGACACGGAAAGTGCCGACTTTCACAATGGTAAGTGGCTGATTGGTCCCAGGTCAAACATTCGTACCAGACGAAGGCTACTTAGTAAAATTGAAAAGCCACACAGTGATTTATTGTATATAGTTAGTCATGGGAATGAAAATAAATGCAGCTGCAAGGAAATACAGCATGTTAAAGAATCAAAATAACTATGGCGTAAGCCGTAAAGGCTATTCAACACAAACTAAATAAATCAGAGAAAAGGTCCACGCAGTGTCATACAGTTCCCGATCGTCCTTACTTGATGAAGTATGTTTTGCCCTCGTGGTCGACAGCCATCTCCCAGCCGTAGGGCAGGCCGCTGTCGCCCGGTCGCCAGCTCTCCAGAGGCGGCAGCCATGACGACGTCCTCTTCACGTGACTGAAACACAACAGAGAGGGCAAATAGTTAGTTGGCCGCTCACTCATCTCTGAGAAGGGTAGGAAGAGAGTTCCCTGAAATTGACTGAGGTATGGGTTAGCTAGCTGCACGGCGCACTGTTCATGATGAAAATGGTGCACTCATGGAATGATCAGAGCAACTTTCGATTGACCAGGGCTCTTGCAGCCCTAAGCCTTGCAATGAACACTGAGCAGTGAGCACTGCTATCTACACACTAGCGATCAAATAACTATACGAGTACAGCAAATAACAGCTCTTAAAGCTCTGACAGCTCTTTTCCGAGAACTTCTTAGTTTTTTTTTAAAGACTACAAACATATTTGAAGCCACCATATCAGTAAACACTTTCCCCCATCCACAAGCACAGCGGCTGCGTTCTTTCCGCCCGCCCGTTTCTGCTCGATCTGCGGCGCATGCCACGGCGCCGTGGCCGCTTGTCGTACCGTCACGGCTGAGGGGTCAGTCAACGGGCGACACCGGGGCGTAATGGACCGGTGACGGGCCTGGGAGTCGCCGGTGTCACCGGCTGGTGACGCCAGGTGGTGTAGGTGACGCCCGGTGTCAGTGGTGCTGGTGACAGCAGTGTCGGTGGTGCTGGTGACAGTGCAGATGGTGTCTTGACAGCCTCAAAGGCCATAAGTAAGGGAATAATTATTGGCATCATCGTGAGGAGCAATGAAAAGGTGATGTGAAAAGAGAGATAATCTTCGCGGATTTTTACTTATTGTTGAAGTCAGTGTGGATTGATCAGACTGATAAGTAGAAAAAACAGTGGCTTTTAACAGATTAATGCGTTATAAAAGTTGCCACTGGAAGTGCCTGATACAATTACAGTACTCCGGAGCGTCGATTAAAGTGAGCTGGCAAAGACAAAACTTTTATATCAAATCTGAAGCGGCAGCTCATTAGGTCTTAATTGTTCAAATAACCTGGCAAACTTATACGCACGGCCATCACAAACCATAGTGACACGGAAAATATCCTGCTCTTGCGACATCCATAGCTAGGATTCAAAATGAGCTTCAACCAAAGAGAAACAAAAGCGCCCCAACCCGGCACACACCATAGAACGCTGCCGAAGACCGGACCGCGCGCAGAGCTAGCGGCCGGATCAGATGAACTTAACAGCTAATTCACTAGTTACGCTGCCGGTATTAACCAAGAAACATGGCTCCCCGAAGAACCGTGAACGCTGCCGATGGAGTCTGTCCGTCTCCCCAGACTCCCAAGTTACAGTTTATTGCCGCGGAACTAACTAACCAACTAGTCCAGTTAGCGACCCTCGACACACCGCAGTGGATGTCCATTTGGCTGATTTACAGCATGAGTAACGCAATTTTCTCTTCGACAGTTCAACTAACTGGAGTGAAATACCGTTATCCGATTGCTGAATGCATCCTTTTCCCTCGCACCTCGCATCATCCCAAGCTCCCAGCTCCGATGAAATTATTCGCTTCCTCTTCTAACTAATTACCGAACTCTAAACAAACGCTACTTGTCATTTATCTTCCTTTCCCTCGGTCCCGTCATCTTGCCACGTCTAAGCCCTGCCCTGCTCTAACCAATGCCGACACCGCTCAACCGAACAGGAGCGAGTTGAGCGTGTAACGCCGTTCCATTAAACCGCCGAACGAGGCCGATTACATGGGCAAACTTTGAGCGGCTCACGGGGCTCGGAAACTGTGAACGGCGCCAATCTGCTATCAGCTCGTTACCTTCACATCACGAGCAGCGCCGCCCTGAGCGACGCCAGGTTCGCGGAGGCGGGCTTCGCACGGATCCAAACTAGGAAAGTCGCAGTACGCGGTGCTCCGAAATGCGCAGTGGCGGGGTGAGCGGGGACGGCGCCGCATAAATGCAGTCCGAAATGAGCTAGAAATAGACGGGTCGCATTTCTATGCGGTGACTTGAATGTTTGGTTTGAGAGCTTCTGTTTAACGTGAAAATGCCTGAATGGGGTCGTCTAACGGCTCAGAAGCCAACCAGTCGAATGAAATAACAGGCTGGTGACAAAAAGATCCGCTTTTAAGGCAGGACTCTGACGTATGGGCCACAAGTAGATAGACACTAACTGACAGAGCGAAGTGAACCATCGAAAATGCGCCAGCATGTAACCTTCCAGTTCTACGGACTACTACGCAAACAGCTTGACTTAGAACGCAATAAAGGCAAGGTTACTTGGAAGTAATCGATCCTTTTGCACCATGTAACCAGCAGTAGCCAAATACTAACCTTGGTTTCTTTTTGTTCCGCCACGTCAGATTCCAACACGCCTGCACGTTCTGTCTGATAATCTTCTTCGCTTGCTGCTCCATGGTAGATGTGTTACGCCACAGATGAACGATTTCCTTTTCCACAATGCCTTGTTCTTGCCTGTTCGTCTCAGCAGTCCGACTGGGGCAGCAGCTGCCTCGGTTCGAGCCCAGTCGCCGCCGACATCCCTCAATTAATTATCCTCCGGTCGAGTTCCAAACTATTCTCCCGGCGTCCCAGCGTCGTCCTTTCTTCGACAAAACTAATTTCTCACGACGAATGCTAATAAAGACTCGGCCAGTTTCCGTTGTGCTCGACAGCGGTGCGCCGGCTGCGCTGTGGAGTCTCCCTCTCTCCGCAGCCGAGCCGAGCCACAGCGCGGCGGCGAATAACTTTTATTGGCAGCCACTTCTGGCGGTCGCTTTGAGTCAGCGGAATAGTGGCGTCAAAAAGACGGCACAATGCCGCCGGAGGCAGCGGCAAAACGGAGCGCTGATGAGGTCCTTATCGCGTCGCTGCGCGGCCGCTGCCGCCGCCACAGGCGCGCTGCAGACGAAATGGTGTGCCCGGTTCTATAGGAGAGCCAGACCGGAGAGCGCTGCAGTCGGTAATGGAGGGAGAGATGGTGGAGTGCGCCTGTGGGACTGATACCTGACCAGCCCAGTCAGAGCTCTGGCCACGTGGTAGGCAATATTGGAAACAGTGAGCCCTTTTCACTGCACTTTCCACCGTAGCCGGCTTATCAGCTCGGAACCACATCCACTGTGCTCCATCGCGAGCCGTTCGCGCATGGCTCGGTCGCCTCACGTCCACGTCTTCACTTCTCCACACTAACGACCGCCACCTAACGTCACATGCACACACGGGACCTCACATCACGTCACCGTCCTCACTCTGCGGAGCGTCCCGTCTCGACGGCGCGCTCCTCACCACTGGCACCGCCACCGCCGCCGCCCTCACCGCCGCGGCGGCTCCGTGTTGATTCTAACTAATTCCGTCACCGGGCGCCTATGGCCTGGCAGCGGCCCAAAGCGCGTCCGCCGTCGGCCGGCGTCGTCCGAGACGCGACAGTACCTGCCGCCGCCGCGCCGCCGCCACTTGGGCCGGCCGCGGCGTGTCAACAAACGGTGCCGACGGCGCGCCGACACGCAAAGGGTCTGTTCACACGACAGAAGAGAGACGACGCCGTGCCGAGTGTGCCCAGGGCGCCCCTGGGCAAACTGGGCCACTCGCCGGCGCCGAAAAGGGTGGCACCGCTCCAGATATGGGGCGGGTTACGCCGGGGACGCCGCCGCTGTCTTGGGGAGAGGGGAGAGGGTTGGAGGGGGAGGACAGGGGGAGCGGAGCGGAGACGGGGGATGGGATAGAGTTGAAATGGGCCGACAAGAAGTTGTAGCGCAAGGAGTGGGAGACGTGGAACAGGAAGAGTGGCAATGATTCAGGTGTGAGGTGAAATAGCCTGGAGGAGGGGGAGGGGGGAGGGTCGCTAAAGAGAGCACTAGCACTCTCATTATTGTGGGCTAGGCAGAGCTTGATAACGACCATTTCGGCAAAAGCCGTCTGGCATGCGCACTCACATATGGTACACACTACACAGATGGGGTTGTTTTTATTAGGTTACAGTAGCGATAAGCACTCGACCGCAATGCAGAAAACCCACCGCTGGCAAAGAGAATGCCGCCAACCGTCGACCATCTAACAGCCCTGCGCCGGGTCTCCAGTGAGCGTCAGTGCACGCCTCACGTGTGTGTGCCAGCCGGTGGGTGCACGAGACGTCAGCCACATGGCGTCTGCGGTGGGACGACGGTGGTCGGCGGCGACGACGGCAACAACGGCGGACGGCGGCGGGGCGGCGGTGGTAGACGGCGTCGGCGGGGCGGCGGTGGTAGACGGCGTCGGCGGTAGAGTGGCCAGTTTTTCGGTCAGCTGGGGCCACCAGCCCGGTGTGATAAACGTTACAGGCTGCAGGTGGTGTCAGCACGAACGAACACGGCACCTGAGCAGTTCCGCTGTCTCTGTTACGGGCACTCGCCGTCGAGGGGTAATGTTTTTAGTTTGTGTTGATCAAAGGTTCACATTGCCGCGCTGAACTAAATACCTGAAGGGTGACAGGGCCATCGTCTAACTGGTGTTCAGACGCGACAAAAGATAAGTACAACAGAGCCTGCAGTGGCTTATTATCGCACGCACCACACAAGCTTAGGACCGTAGTGAACATACAACTGAGCGTTGCTATCAGACAGTTTGATCCTCCCCACGACGGTCTCAAGCATGGCTGCTGATACCAGTCACACACATCAAATGTACGACAGACGTTGTGACAATCTTGCATAATGCATGCAAATGAAGCGGACTTCGAGCAATGTTCAGTGGCACGATATTACGTACCCATACAAAAATAAGGTTTGTGACTCCAGAAATGAAACTGGCTGAGTGTGAGTGATGACTGAGCAAACCGCATATAACGTTCCGCCTTTACGACAATACATATAAGTGAGCCGACATGAATGCCGGGTTTATGCAAGTGCAGAGTTATTGCAAACATCACTTTCAAGACGCTGAGTTCATCGGAGCTCGAGTAAACGGCTTCACATATTGCGCTATCTTCGTTCATAGAATTAATCAAGAGTGATAACCGAGCAAGCGAGGCAAGAATAGCCTGCTCCCTGTAGTTGGAGCTTAGACGTTATTTACCGCCTCGTTTAATGCAGATTAACGTCGACTTGT